AAAAAAAAAGTAACAACAACAACAACAAAAAGAACTCTCTGAAATAGTATCCTTTTTTTTTCTTTTTAATTTTTAGCGGCCCTTCCCAGCCCCGAGGGTAATGGTGCTAGGAAAGACCTGAAATAGTATCTTTACACAAAAGAAAACAAGGCTCAGATGTTAAAGTAACCTGCCCAGTCAACTTTGGTCTATTTGGTTATAAAGCCAGTCATTCCACTATGTCCTGCTTCTTGAGGTTATTAAGGAGAAACTGTCAAATGACAGTAAGTTTCTCCATCCCCAAATAAAACCAGGAAGGAGAAATCTGTGACACTAATCTGAGACCACATGATCCATTCCATACACAATTGTCAAAGATTTCCTAAATCCTTTAAGAATTAAGAAGCTAAGGCCAGGCCCTGTGGCTCACACCTGTAATCCTAGCTCTTTGGAAGGCTGAGGCATGCGGATCCATTGAGCTAAGGAGTTCGAGATCACCTTAGACAACATAGTAAGACCTCCTTCTATAAAAAAATTAAAAAAGAAAAAAAATCAAAAAATTAGACATAGTGGCATAAGCCTGTAGACAGCTACTCAGGAGGCTGAGGTGGGAGGATCATGTGAGCCCAGGAGGTCATGGCTGCAGTCAGCCATGATCCAGCCCCACTGCACTGGGCAACAGAGATGCTGTCTCCAAAGAAAAAAAAAAAAAAGCTGAAATATGTACAACTATCATGTATCAATAAAAAAAGAATTAAGAGACTAAAACTTACAATTATGTAGGTTTTTACTGAAATAATTTATGAAGTAAATTTAATTATTAGGTTCTAGATTTGGCCTTCGCCCATATTTAAATGTGAACCACATCACATTTTATAAGTAATATTTAATTATAATTCACCCATACACAACTGGCTTGTATCAATACCAACATTTATCTATTTGCTTCAAATGTATAATTCTAAGTCAAAAGAGACCAGGTTTGATTTAATGCCTTAAAGTAGGTAGATCCTATTTATAATAATCTACTAAAAGCCATTTCTAATTTTCACATACTTTGTTTGTGGCCAGCAGTCTGGTTCACAATACTGATAGCCTAGCAGTTGACCTCCTTTGAAGCAAAGTATCTCCAAGGTTTGGGTATTAAGTTTACTGCTGGGCCGGGCAAGGTGGCTCACACCTGTAATCCCAGCAATTTGAGAGGCTGAGGCAGGCAGATCACCTGATGTCAGGAGTTTGAGACCAGCCTGGCTAACATGGTGAAACCCTGTCTCTACTAAAAATACAAAAAATTAGCTGGGCATGGTGGCAGGTGCCTGTAATGCCAGCTACTTGGGAGGCTGAGGCAGGGAGTTGCTTGAACCCAGGAGGCGGAGGTTGCAGTGAGCTGAGATCACGCCACTGCACTCCATCCTGGGCGATAGAGCAAGACTCCATCTCAAAAAAAGGAAAACCCCTCAAAGAAATAAATTATGATTTTCTAAACATAAATAATACAAATAGTTGTTAATTCTCTAAACAGAACCATTCTTTCATGTAACATTTGAAAAATCCTGTATCTCAATAGTTCTATTTAAGATCCTAGGTGTGGCACCTTATATATGTTATGAAACTGTAACCTATGATTTGTAGAACTTAGAATTCACAAATAATGCAATGAAGAGTTAGTCATGGAATCTGTTAAGCAGATAACCTGAGGGGTAATTATAGCAGACCTCGACTATATGACATGATGAAATTATAAACCCTTTTATAAGGTCTGCTATGCTTTATAAACCTTGAATATCAACCGAAAAGGAAATGGGATAGCCCTAAAATGAAGCTCAAGAAAAATTTTCTAACTAGTGGAGTTGTGAAGTTCTCTACCCAGGATTCTTCTCCAGATGTTTCTAAAATGGAGAGGCTTTTGGGTTTTTGGTCAGGGATGGACAGGGTACAGATAGTAAGGACACCCAGAGGATGTGAATGACTCTCGTGACAACTAGTGGCTCTTCCTTCACCTAGGATTTTGAAGCATAAGGTCTGTCTGTTGAGGGAAGGGGAGAGAAAAATCAGTTCTTCTGTTAAGGAGGGACAACTCATCTAGACTCATGCAATGAACGTGATTCCAAAAGACTGACTGAACATTACCAAGTGGGCAGGCTACTGGGGACAATTCCAGAAACATTTCTAGAAAGACAGGAATACAGTAATCTAGCAGATACGCAAAAGAATACCAGAAGATGGTCGGGCATGGTGGCTCACGCCTGTAATCCAAGCACTTTGGAGGCCAAGGCAGGCGGATCACCTGAGGTCGGGAGTTCAAGACCAGCCTCACCAACATGGTGAAACCCCGTCTTAATTTCTTAAA